GGCCTTTGTTCACCCCACGGAGCCGTGTGAGACACTTTTTTTATGGATGCGCGCTTTTTATTTCACTTCTTTTGGACTGAAGCACTGCAACACCCGCTGACTGCAATGATAGAGCTTGGAATAGCCAGGACAATTTTTAATCTAACAAAATCAGACTGGATTCGTCTGAAACAAGAAAGTCATATACACCTAGGATGCCTCGGGTGTGAGTAAAACACAGCCTAATTTTCATTTTTGGGTGAACTAACCCTTTAATTCACTCATTGCATACAGTCACACACATGCAAAGCAGACAATATCTGAGAACCAGATGCATAATAAGAACTGACTCAGGTCCTTTAGGTCCCTGCCAAGGAGAAATGAGAGGACAGATGAAACGTTAGAGAAGAAAAATAATTTTGATTTGGGTTGCATGTGAAGCACCTATGATCTGGACATTTCCCACCCCGGGCCCAGAGCTGCTGCTCACACAGTATAAAGTAACGCTGATGAGGAGAGAGCACAGGAGCTGAATGTTCCAGAATATTTGCCACCATCAGAGAATAACTGCCAAAGCTTCTCTCTTTCTACAGTACACATCCACCTCTCTCATTCGCTCAAATTTTATTTCTTATTCTCCCATTACACCTTCTCAGAATTGAGATGAGGGCATATATATTATAAATAAACCAATACTGAGTCAAACAGACATGCAGGCAAATAAGGAAGAATGTGAAATGAATGAAGATAGAGAGAACTAGCCTAATAAAAAAGAGAAAGAGGGAGTTGTTCCACAGGTGAAAGGGAGCGCTGTCATAAACTGCATTTACTGTAGATGCTTCCCTTAGAAACAGTGTGAACTTACTAAATTGCAACATATTTATACATGAGTTTAACGACCATGCATCATCCAATATATTATTAGTTGAAATGTGTTATCAGTGGAAATAACTAGAAACATTTTACAGTCCAGTTATAGCACAAATTCACGAAAAATGGCCATCTTACTCCACTACCTGAGGCAAGAAGCCCCCAGGATGTAATATAAAACACATCAAATATTCTACATTTTTAACGAAGGGATGTCATATATAGCAACAGACTATGAATTCAGATGGTTGTGGTTAATAAGATGTTTGTAATGTTAATAATATTAAACTGTATTAATAATATTAATATTTGAATATAAATTAATTACCTGTCCACAAATAACCATAAAAAACTGATTCATGAACGAATCGTTTAGACAGGTCTTGTGGTTCACAAAAACGATCTAAACGATTCGTGAGTTCGACTCGATCGTTCATATATCGAGTGGGACGCTTTCACTGAATCTTTAACTTAATAATATCAGTGAGGGATGTGAACCAGTTCAACCTTTTAAGTAAAAAGAACTGATGAAAACACCGATTCATTAACGAGTCGGAAGTAGCACAAGAAACATCAATAGCTACCAAGTTTCGCCTTAAAATTTAATTTAATTATATTTAATTATGTAGCCTACGTTGTGTATGTTCACCTGAAATCGTTTCCTATTTTTTCATTTGTTATTTCAGTTATTATCAGCACACGTAAGATTATTAAAATAACATATTCAGATGTTTAGCTTACCTGTAGGTAAATTGTGTGTTATTAACACAAGTTAACAGACGTGTTAATTACCATTTGACAGTTAATAGAGAATTTAATAGAATTAATTCAGCTACAAACAATAGCATCAGTAGGAACTGCTCACAAAACAAAGTACCAAATATAAGACGCAGCGAGATCTTATTCTAATTATTCTACCTGAGTTCTTCCTCCTCCGGTTCATCGGCAGTGTGTTCAGCTTCCGCGTCGTGAACCCGGACGGCACGCGGACCCGGCGGCAGGAACGCAGACAGCAGATACAAGTAAAAAGTAGCCGCGGCCACCAAGGCAATTAAACCCCAGATTGAGCGCATAGTCCCGGGCTAGATCTGTCTAAAAACGACACAGCTGCACTTGGTGCTACACCTGTTAAATAGCAGATCCGGTCAGTGGGCAGTTTATACATGTTAGGTCTCCAGCCCATGGAAGTACGTGGACCTACTGTATTGGAACAATGTGAGTCAGTGAAGACCCCCATGAGGGTGGACCTATCTGTCACATGAGACCCCCAAAACGACGAGCCTTTGGTTTTGGGACTCTGGGAACAGTATGTGTAACTTTAAAAAAAACTTTATATAGAACCCCGTTTAAACTAGGCTATGTAACAAAACATTATAGGCTATTATTAGAGGCTATATCAATGCTTGTCAGTGCGTTATTTTCAGAGCTGCAGAGTAATTACTCACGTGGCATCCAAAAATGAAATTGTACCATTGTTTTTTAATCATTATATTTATGTCATGAGCAGGTCAATGTATTTTATGTCGGGGTTTTTTTAATGTTATGCATTGTGGTTTATTGTTGTGAGCAGGATGGTGTGGTTCAGCTTAGTATTCTTTATTGAAAGAACTGGAAGAAAAAACAGCTGCTGAAAAAATGTCACTGTCACACTGTATTACAATCAAATACATAAATATAACAAAATGTACACGCTACAGTTAATATGTGCACTGATGCACTAAAAAACGTATAATATGATGTATCAAAGTCAAATGTGCTTAAACAGCAACAATGGTAGTTACTTCATAACAGTGAAATACTTTATTCTACAATCTGACCAAAAAGATATTAGAAATAAGTAGTACTAAATAAAAAGAACATGTTAATAAAACTATGAGACTATAAAAATGTAAAGTGATGTGCAAAATATAAATTACATAAATATTAATAATTAAAAAGAATGTCTAGTAATAAAGAATAAGATTATTTAAAAAAGTGGAATGAGCAACTGGGTAAATACAAAACTGGGTTTACTCAGTTTCCATAAATTGTTGGCAAAGAACATCCATTCAAGACATATTCTGTGGAAAGATAGGGAACGGTTTGAACAAATTTCGACTGTGTGGAACCAATTTTACTCAAATGAAGTGAAAAATTAAATTGAGAGAATTGATCTTATACTGGCCATTACAATGCTTTCATTGAGTACTGTACGGTCTAAAAACATTTCTTTTCTTTTTCAACGGTTTTTATACTCTGAGGCAATAAAAGTTTGTGCTATTTTGTTACCACATGATGGCAGAGTTTCCTTCATAAAAGCTTTTCCTCAAAAGCCCAAAGAGGAACCAACACAGGGTGGGTTTTGGAGAGATTTGGAATGAACTTTTTAACTACTTGTTTACAGTAATAGACAAGTATCCAAACTGCTGTAATAAAATAAGAAAGGTATGACATATGAAAAGTTGTAAAACATGATGTCATCTTGCTGTGTAAAAACATGAGCTGTGTCTGAAATAGCATACTCCAGTAGGTAATATATATATATATTTTGAAACTTATTTTGCTACCACTAAAGAAAGTATGTTCTATATAGTGTAGTATGAATTAAATCTGGACGTAATACACCCATTATGTTGTCACTGTCATGTGACATACAGCGTCAAGTGTGTCGCTTCTCTGTCGTTCACAAATCCTCTCCTGTGGCCTCATGGGATAATAAAGTGTCCATCAGATATGCAGATATCACAAAACTATGAAACTGGACATGTCGAATCTCTTGACATACTGTTTTTCCGCCTACTATAGGCTATAGTATGGAAGTGCACATATTTTTGATGCAGCGATGCTGTGATTTAATCAAAATAATATTAGCCTATCAGGTTTTAGGGCTCAGGTTTAAGCTGCAGTTATGTCTTGAATAATATTTAAATTTTAGGTATCATTAGGGTACATTGATTTGACAGGAATGTTGATTCAGAAACAAGGCCTTAGCACCACTTAGGCAAGAAAAATAAAAAAAGAGAGTGAGAGACTTTTAAATGTTTAATTAACGTTCCCCTTGAGGAAGTTGTTTCATCATAAAAGATTAAAATAACCTTCCCAGCATACTGCAGAGGCAGATTCATTGATAAAATGCTGCTGTGTGTAGACTGCTGTGTAAGTTCTCCACGATTTGTATTGCGTGGAACATCTCTAATCAACTGACTCCCATTCATTGATGGGGAGTTTGAATGCACGTGGTGGACACACACAGACAGCGGGCTGTGCTGGATGCAGAGTGGATTTATTGATTTCTCTTTGTGGAGTCACATTTTTGCCATTGATATTAATCAGTGACACACAAAAGAAAAACTGGGAGATTGCATGCTTGATATTAAAATCTTTAACTTTAAGGAGTCACTCAGAAGAAGTAATTGTTCAACAACTTTTCCAGGAAAGAGAGTGATGATGTTATAGCTTGTCCATCATCAGTGTTATGTCACTGAGTCTGTGTGAGCATGATGTACTGTAAGATTAGAGCGTGATGTCTTTCACGCTAATAAAAGATAGACTGTGGAAGATGAAGGGATTTAGATGTGATTAAAGAGAGATAGGTGCACTCTCAGCTCATTTCGACTGTCCCCTGTACAGGGCACTGTTCGCTTTAAAAGGACATACTATGAAGCAGGAGGCTGTCAGACAGACACAGAGGGAATGCTGATAGATAGAAGCAAGAACAAAAGTAAGAGAAATGCTTGATATGAAAATAAATATTTGATTAATAATCCTTTAAAAAATAGACCAGCTGAATTGCTCATCTTAAAAAAATGTGTTCATCCAAAGATGAAAATGATGTTATTATTTACTCACCTTCATGTTGTTCCCGACATTATTTCGTATGTGGGTTACATTTTGAAGATGTATGCAATATTTTGAGATATGAAATATTTTCATGTTATCTCATAATTTTTCATCTGCTATTGAACACAACCAACATTTTCAAACTTCAAAACATATATAAAGACATTGTAAACAATCCATATGAATTCAGCATTTAGTCTAAGTCCCCACTTTTTAAATTTAAATTTAGGCTTTAAAAACATGATCAGTGCACATACATAGAGCACATCAAATATGTTAAAAGGAAGCTCACACGTACTTGCTTGATGCATGAGAATGAAAATCACTTATTCTCGCCCAGCAAACAAGCAAGTTTGAGCTTCCATTTACCATATTTGATGTGCTCTGTGTATGTGCATTCTGAGGATAAACAAAAGTATTATGGGTTTAGAACGACATACGGGTAAGTAAATGATGACAGAATTTTCATTTTTGAGTGTACTATTCCTTTAAATTTAAGTCTGTTCCAGGTCCTTATAAACAAAGCTATTGTATGGCTTTCTTATTTTCTTAAATTTTATGATACTTTTTTGAAACTTGAGAGCCTCAGTCCTCCTTTCATTGTATTTGCAGGGAAAGAGTGACCACTACCATTGTTCCTTCACAGGACAGAAAGTCAATGGCTGAGTAAATAATGACAATTTTCATTTTAATTCCACTTAAAAAAAAAATTCAACTAGATATGACCCCACCACATAAATAGTTTTACCTAAAGAACCCTAAAAAGATGTATCCAAACCAGAGTTTTAAATCCTCCAGCAGAAGCTCTGCTAGCATGTTCACACACAAACATCTGCACACCCACACACTGTCCCCGAATGATTTATGTTCACCCCTTGTAGTTACTGAAACATCTGGATTATGCATTGGATCCTTATTGTATGGCTTTCTTATTTTCTTAAATTTTATGATACTTTTTTGAAACTTGAGAGCCTCAGTCCTCCTTTCATTGTATTTGCATGGAAAGAGTGACCACTACCATTGTTCCTTCACAGGACAGAAAGTCAATGGCTGAGTAAATAATGACAATTTTCATTTTAATTCCACTTAAAAAAAAATTTCAACTAGATATGACCCCACCACATAAATAGTTTTACCTAAAGAACCTAAAAAGATGTATCCAAACCAGAGTTTTAAATCCTCCAGCAGAAGCTCTGCTAGCATGTTCACACACAAACATCTGCACACTCACACACTGTCCCCGAATGATTTATGTTCACCCCTTGTAGTTACTGAAACATCTGGATCATGCATTGGATCCCTTAACAAATGAGACGGTGAAACTACTCCCAGGAGATCCACCGCAGGTCCACTGGAGTTCTACTGGAGAATCAGAAGCTGAACCTGAAATGACCTGCCAAAAACATAACAGTATGAAAAAATCACTTAACAATAAATTAATCTAAATTCAAGTGAAAATCCAATGATGGGCAGATAAAGCTTTAATAAAAATAAAAACTAATGTAAAAAAAATAAAAAGATGAAAAACATACAGTAGTCATAGTATAAGGCACAGGATGGAGCAAGAGAGCAGTCATGCATTGCAAGCATGTTAAATCATTCACAGGATCATGTTAGATGGGGTTTTCCCCCAGATGGGATGCTGCACTGCTGAAATAGAAGTGTGTAACCCAGTTTTGGTGATGGATATAACTCTGCATCAAGCTGAGGGTCCAATTCCTGCCCAGATCTCATTACACTGAGAAAGCAAGACAACGTTACACACACTAAACAGATTCAGAGATGCCCCATCCTGCCAATAACAATCTCAGTGCCTCGGGCAGTGTCTGTTTGGTGGATGATAGCAAATGTGATATTTAAGTTGTTCAATAAAACTCAATGTCTGAGTGTGAGAAAGATTTCTCAAATGTTAAAAATGTGTGTGTGTGTGTGTGTACCTGTTTTTCTATTCTGGTGGGGACTTAAACCTGAATACACACAGACTCATGGGGACTCATGTCACGGTGGGGACCTAAATTGAGGTCCCCACGGGTAAACAAGCTAATAAATTGCACATAATGAAGTTTTTTGAAAATCTAAAAATGCAGAAAGTTTCCTGTGAGGGGTAGGTTTAGGGGTAGGGTTGGTGTAGGGCAATAGAATATACGGTCTGTACAGTAGAAAAACCATTACGCCTATGGAGAGTCCCCACAAGGATAGCTGACCAGACGTGTGTGTGTGTGTGTGTGTGTGTGTGTGTGCTGTGTGGAGGAGGGTGCTTTCAACCTAGATATAGTTATTGCTGCAGGCTTTGGTAGCTATATATTGAAACACACCCCCCTAGTTCACGTGCCAGACTCAAAGAGCATCCAAGGGGGGAATATTCAATCAGACACAACATCTAAATCACAAATCCTTGTCTA